GATCACGCCTGTGCGACCATCAGAGATGGAACAATCTCTGGAGATTCTACCGTGTTTGAACCTCGATTCGCATCTGGTTGTTGCACGTCTCCACGAGAAGCATGGTCCAGGTGTTCGAATCGGACCCACCTACTCAGTTTAAAAGATCCTTCTTTGATCAAGACAATTTACAAGTATCAGGATGATTGGGTCAAGGTGAATATCCCTTACCGTCTTCTTCCCATGTCTTCTTTTGGCACACGCCACAACAGCTTGCTTGTCATGGGCCGTTAACACGCCTGAGTAGACCGAGTTCTATCATGGCGGTTCGACAAGAAACTCTGCCGGTAAACCGATATTCAACGTCTTCGGCTTATCAGACCGAGAAGACCACGCGCGTGTGAGAAAGCCAATCGGGAGGCTATACTCGCCGGCCGGTGCGCTGGCCATGGAGAAGCATGTCGACAAGGCCATCTCCCAGTTTCTTGCCCAGTTAGACAAGCCGCTTCGTCAATGGGCCGAACGCAGGAGCAGCGTGTCAGCTCGAGCGATGGTTTCTGTATTGTCAGTACCCAGCCTTGACGCCGAGAAACCGGGGCTTTCGCTGACCAAGATTTCAGTTGCGTGGGACGTCGTCGGCGACATCACCTTCAGCCAGCCCTTCGGATACATGAATCACGGCCGTGACTTTGACGGCACCCTCGCTGATTCGGAAATGGCGATGAACTACTTCGCAGTCGTCGGCCAGATTCCCATATTAGATTTTGCCGGTGCCCAAAACCCGCTGCTAAAGCTCGTCTCGAAAGCGCCCTTCACCACAGCTAACGCTATTGCGCGCGGCCATTTGGTCAACCGACTTGCCGGGAATGACAAGGACACACACGATCCAGGCATGCCCGATTTTCTGGATGGATTTATCGAGGCGCAAAAGTTATACCCGGAAGTTGTCTGCGATGGACAGATCCAATCGTGAGTTTTACGTCCCCGAAGTCTAGAGAAATACCATGTTGACAGCAAGCAGATATCTCCTCATCAACCTTATCGCAGGCGCTGACACAACAGCCATATCGTTGTCTTCCGCGATTTACTTCAGCCTCAAGCATCCCAGCGTGTGGACTCGACTTGAAGAGGAAGTACTGGCCGCGGACCTACCAGATGACTACCCCGCCTCTTACAAAAAGTCCCGCACCCTTCCTTATTTGAACGCAGTCATTCGTGAGTCCATGAGACTTCATCCCGGTGTGGGCATGCATCTAGAGCGGTACGTACCCGCGGGCGGCCTGCCGTTGCCTGATGGAACTCTTGTACCGGCCGGTTCCATGGTCGGGATGAACCCGTACATCGTCAATCGGACAGTGGTCTTTGGTGAGGACAGTGGCGAGTTCAGGCCTGAAAGATGGCTACAGAGTCCGGGAGAGAGTACCGAAGAGTACGAGAAGCGACTTGTCAAGATGAATGATGCCGAGCTCTCCTTCGGCGCTGGAAGCCGGATCTGCGGTGGGCGGCACATTGCAAATCTGGAAATTTCCAAATTGATTCCTACGTTGATCAGACGATATCGTATTGAATTGGTTAATCCTAACGAGGAATGGGTTGTAAAGAATGGATGGTTCATGAGACAGACTGGGGTCAATGTCAGGCTACAGCGCCGATAACTGTCGTCACAAGTGGGTTCATTCAAGCGATGAGAATTAAATCCGAAAATTTACAAGCAAAGAAATAGTTTCTTTTGAAATGAAATAGTCTGGTATCAAAAGCTAAACACGCTTACCCCGAGTGATGGGGTATCTCCTAGAGCACAGCAACGATGGGGGATGTAAGTAGAAAGTAAGAGCCTATCACTCACTTACAGCCTTCTCCTGGCCCTCAATCCTCTTCTTCTCGTGGTCATCGGGGGTCGCAGTGCCTGAAACACCCTCGCCATCTCCCTGACCCTCGGTGACCACGTGTCTCGTGGGCTTTTTCCCACCGAGCATGCTCTTCACCGTGTGAATCAGGGTCGCGCGGCCCTCGAAAATCGGATAGAGACCAACAGCGCAGAAGGAACAGAATATCCACATTATGCCGACAACGACCCAGCCAGTGAAGAACGGTTTGCTGAAGATGTAGGCAGAACCGTACATGGGCATAGGCCAGAGAATGAGCATGGCAAGAGTCCTACACACGTTAGCCGGGTACTGCGAATGCGTAGACATGAGAACGTACATGATAACTGTGGCGGTGACTGAGATTTTGAACGCGCGACGAAGCATGGCCTGTTCGCGCTCAAATTCCTCGCTTGTCTCTTGGTGGCCACCGGGAGTCTCCTCCAAATCGACACCAGCGGCATTAGCGAGATCATGATCATCGCCCTTGCGGATCTCCATCATGGACTGCCAATCGTACTTGTCGACACCGAAAATGAGGGTGAAGATCGGGATAAGGACCAGAGGAGAAAGAAGAGCCACGACGTTGCCGACTAGCATAGGGGTGTTGGATCCGGTGCAAGTGACATCGAGGACGCCGCAATCCTTCTTGGCCGTGACAAGCCAAGCAATGATGGCAAGGATGGTACCAAAGATGGGCGTGAGTGTTGCAGCCCACTTGTTCTGGCCGCGCCAGATGAGAGTCAGGGTGGCAGGCAGAACGGCGGCCGAGATGAGTACTCCCATAAGAACGTAGAGATAGCCCATAGAGATGCCATTGTAGAACAAGCCGACGGAAACAGAGCTGATGACTAGTGCATAGCAGACGACAACGACGTGAGAGAAGTGGATGAGACGAGCACCAGAAGCATCGGGCTTGAAGTACGTGCGATAGACATCGTAGGTGAAGATGGAAGAAACGGCAATAAGCTCAGCACTGCTGGCAGATGTAACAGCCATAAAAACCATGAGCAGAGTGGCTACAGCACCACCCTTGCCGAGAAGTGCAACCGCAGCGTAGGGCAGGGCGAGGCCAGCAGAGACCTCAGCTTCCGTCATGCGCTCGGGGAAAGTGGGAAACCTGGGGTTACTTTCGAGAGCAAGGGCAGAGAGTCCCATGGTGGTAGCTGTGAGCCAAGGAATGGCAAACCAAGAAAGACCACCGATGATGTAGCCGGGGAGAGCGTGTACAGGCGAAGCAGCGATAGCCTTGTTATAGTAGCCATTATCGAGGAAGACGGTGCCAAAGTTGCCGACGATGTTGATTACGAAGAATTCGACACCACCCTGCGATCGCATCGTCAGGTAGGATCCTTCAGCGTTTCCAGAGACGGGGTGGCGAGAGGCAGCTTCAATGAGCAGGTCGTAAACCTTGGAGGGACTGCCCAGAACATCGGAGCTGGCGTAAGCAGTGAGAGAGAAGATGATGATGATAATGAGGAGAATGAAGGTATGGACAAAGTCTGTGAGAAACGTTGCTTTGAGACCCTATCAGATGTTAGCATGGTTGATTACGTCGCTCAGACTTGCTACCACTTA